AAGTTTTTACTTCATCTCAATTTTTTACCAGTATTTCAGAATGCTGCGCGAAATTAGCCGGCGTGTCGACTGGGTTCTAGTGGGGGGCCGTTGGACGCGGATGTCCGTCATCGGCACCAGTCTCTCAGCGGACGTTCTCGATCGCGAAAATAAAGGGGATGTCGACGATCGTGTTGTAATTCTGATGATACCAGGTTAGAGTCATAGCAGAATTCCCTTATTTTTAGACGTGTTAGTTCAGTATACTTTTAGGTAACCCAGGTAATGAGGGATTTTATGCCGATTTTGGCCATCGCGTTGTGAAGTGTTTGTTGTCAAGAGAAGAACGAATGGGTGATCGTAAACGACACTACTTATTCTATACTGTTTCACATTTAAATCATGTTGTCCTCCCGAATGAGCTGAAAAATGCTGGCAAACCCAAGCCTTATGGTGAGTATCTGGACAAGTTCAACTGTACTTTTACTGTTTACACCCGCGTTTAACATAGTTTTTTTTCACTTTGCTTTTGTAGTTTTCATAGTAGAGATGGTGTAATATAAGCATGACTTATGTAATGTTGTCGTTAGGAGGGTATCCGCATCCTTATCCCATAGCGATTCCCTACATTCACCTCGCCGCGACCGCCCGCGTAGTGAACCCGCCATTCGTAGAAGTTTCAGCAGCTCTACTAAAATCCTGAACGTTTATTTGTTTTTAACATTTTTGTCGCTTTGAACTCCCTAAATATACATTACGTATGGGAAATTCGGAGGTTTATGACAATCTGACTTATCGGAAATGTGTTTTATTGATTGGCTAGTTGCTACTTTCCATTTCCCTTGCCACACCTCGAAGATCTTTCTGAAGATATGGTCCTTGTATCCCCTTTGATTTGTACTTTTTGTGATGACATGTCGGTTTCCAGCTTCGTACTTGTTATCAGTCGTTTAATCTTTCTCAAAGAAAAGATGAAAAAAAGAAAAAAGGAAAGATGGAGAAATATAGAGGGCGATCTTGCGTTACAAGTCGATTTTGCTCGTTATTTCTAATGGATATTTGTTTAGTCTTGCAAAAAAGTCGTGCAGTACGCATACCCTAGAGTATTCACTGCGGAGCTGCCTAATCCTGAAAAAAGGCAGAGGTTCTCTCAAATATGCTTAAATTTCAGATCGTTTTCACCTTGATGCTCAAGTGCAGCATAAACTGGATTTCGTCAGGGAGCACCTTCCGAAGGGTCAAAAAGTCTATATCCTTGGTCACAGTATAGGTGCTTACATGATGCTCAGGTATAGGTTTTCATATTCATTATTCATTCATTCATTTCGTGTTTTTCGAAACTTTCTGATGAGATGCTGGGTCGCTTTGAATTCTGCGTTCTTTTGTCATACATTGGATACAAGTTTTACTAGAATGACGATTGACATGTGCTTTGACGTGTTGTGTCCAGCTATTCTCTGGAGAGTCTCGTATCAAATTGTTTGCACATGCGAACGCAATTTTTTGCCGTCGGTCGGAGTATGGGTCAGTAGGCGCCATCGGAAATGCCGCACTGGGACGAGGGAGGGGCCCACGGCACTTGGGGTCCCTATAAGTTATTGTGATTATTAAAAGGATGAAAAAGATAAAGTCTTTTGGTGTTAATCATTCCCGTCTGAGGGATGCGCTCCCGCATTCGGCTTCCATTCAGAATTCTAGTGGCTAATGAGTGCGTATGTGCCTAAACAATGACTTGCGGTGGCCAGCCCATGTACAAGTCAGTGCTTTTATCCTCCCAGACAAGTCTGGTACCAATTCACCGACCCTGGAGGGATGGAAGGTTTGGTTGACCCAGGCGGATATCGATCCGAGATTCAAACCCCTGACCGTGCTTGTGACATAATTGTGATTATTATACTTCTCTATAGTTGCAGATGTAGAGAGAAATAGCGTTGTCCCACATAAAGGCAATACTGCTGATTTCCAGAGGGAAAACTGAATTCAGGCGAAATACCGGAGCGCTGGTACTAAGATACGGGGGTCGGCGGTATCTCTATGCGAATTCACACGACAAGCGGCAGTTCTCTGTTACAATTGCCATTATCTTACATTGGGATTTCAAACCTTTCTCTTCATCGCGCGAGATCAGATGTAAAGAGCGCGGCACGCTATGGCTGCTTTCACAGTCCACGATTTGGCGAGCGACCGATCGCGCGACTGATCGTGGACTATGAAAGCAGCCATAGCGTGCCGCGCTCGTTACATCTGATCGCGCGCGATGAAGAGAAAGAGTTGAAATTCCAATGTAAGACAAGCCGA